AATGTATGCAGAAAAATAAAGTTAGAGGCATAGCTCAGATTCCATACCCCTCTTCAAAGTGCCACCTTGTGGAATATACTAGAATAAAACAAGAAAGGCCATCCCTTAGGACATGTGAATTTTAAAACAGACATGTGAAAGAAAAACCACTTCGCCTTCCTAACATATTGACTTAAAATTGCTGTACTAGTATTTAACTAGATGGTTGGGAAAAAACTGTGTTATTTTCAGGAGAGTCTTGTTATATTCTCGAAGGCCAGAGCACCAGTTATTAAGAAAACATAAATATGTTGATGGACGTCCATTCTTTTATCTAAATTAACTCTCAGGGAATGCTAAGAAATAGAAAACATTTGAAAAGCTGACTTGCACTTCATTTAAAAAACAAAAACAACTAACTGAGGAAAACATTTAAAAATCAGACCCCTCCTCTTTCTCCATTTTTTTGTTGTTAACAAAGGTCAGAAGATGGATAAGGCCAAAGGAATATTTTTGGTTTATTTTCTGAAAAAGGACAAACTAGAAATGCTTGAGATATAGGTGTGTAATAAAACCAGGTTGAAAATTGCATGCAGAAAAAAGTGAAAATTCTATCTGCTTATGCCTTTGAGGAAAACACCACTGCTAGTTATCTGGGGACTTAATATTGCTTGGCAGGTTTATGGGAGCCTGAAGTTTTTCCACTGTGGGGAAGGAACATGTAATTAATCTTCCTCATCATGTGTCTGTATGTACTGAATGCACATGATAAATGGTTTAGGTTCCACAAGTTTTCAAAAATCTTGGTGGCATAGGAAACACATACCTTTAAAAAATTTACTTAGTTTTTAACAATGAACATTTTAAGGCTTGCACAACAAGAGTAGCTTCACATGGCTGTGTCTTCCCATGAAATGTGGAAGGAATAGGGGTGGTTTAACTCGCTTTAGCTCAACCTTTGAAACGATAACTGTTTGGAATGGCTTTTCCATAAAATTGGTTTTTGACCCTATCACGTTCATAGTTGCCAGGTGACTTTAAATAAAGTATACATAACTTTGAAACTATCCTTCTTTGAATACCTTCATTTTCTCCAGAATTTCCTCTAGCCACTGCCTAGTATCTTCTGGTTTTTAAAAAATTTAGAAATAATCACATTTTAATTTTTATAAAGACACTATTTTATGTCTTTAAGCATTCTTTTGAATTCTATCAATATCTGGAATACATAATATTCAATTATTTCCATTCCAAGAAATTGTACTAACACAATTAAGTAACCACAGTGGCTTATTAACTTTCAACATTCTTTCCTAGACCCACCTATGCAACATTGGCCTGTTTTTGGAAAATGAGACACTCTCATGTGCTTATAAAAATTACAGTAGTCACTTAAAAAGAGAAGCAATTTTTTAGAGAAGAATTTTAGTATGTTTATGATATTAGGAAGCATACATGATTTAATTTCTATTAAGAAATAATTGTCATTACTGACTTTTATGGGTACCCCTGTTTAAGAAAAGTAGCTATAGTTAGTTAAAAACTCAATTTAAATCCATTATTTAAGACTCAAAAGTTTGGTCATATTTAAGTTTTTTTCTCACCAGGATGGACAGTATCACATTCTGGAGTCATATCATAAATTTCTCTATTAAAAGGTCCATGTTTTATTTAAGATAGTAACATCCCATGCATTCTGAAATTTTCATTTTTACCCAAAACGAAGAGGCTGAAAATCAGGTGAATATTTTGAACTATTTTTAGTATGTCACCTGAGGCTAAGTGAAAAATCAGTCATTCAGAATGTGTGTTTCCTGAGAGAAAACCATGAGAACATAGGGGGCTAAAATGGCCTGGAGCTTTCTTCCGAGACAGGTTCTCTGCTCCTTGAGTTCCCATCCACTTCAAAGGGGGAGGCCAAGTGGGAGGCCCCAGTGCACCGGGTTCTGACAAGCTCTTGGGGATTGTGTTTTTAAGATTATAAGGTTCCAGCCTTATTACCTTTGCCAGGTGAGAGCTTATGATGCCTAAATGGACTCTTCACATGTAGGCTGTTACAAGTCCACCCTGGCACAGCAGTTCCCAACGCTTGGGCCGCTAGATCGAAATACATAGAAACGATCGGGCAAACATTCTTGTCCCCATCCTAGTAAGAAATGCAAATGTGATTTCAAGTCTGTCATCCTGTTTCTTAGAGCTATAAGCTGCTTCAGTGTAACCCTGGGGCGATATGACCTTTTCAGCTAATCACTGCCTAGCTTTTGGCAAAGCTGTCTGAAACCATATGTCACAGAAGAATAAGCCGCATTCAGTAAGCTTGTCTTCTGCTCTATGATTCAGAGTGTCCTAATGGCAAAGGTGCATGTGTGGGATCTGGGTCTCAGAACTGGTGAGCCGGATGTGAAAGACATAAAATAAAAAGTAATCACTCAAGTGCAACAACCGCCAGGATGGAGGAGCTGGGGACAGACTCTAACGAGTTCACAGTTCTGCCTTTCACAGGGTAATTTGGCAAGTATCTAAATGTTCGTGCTTGAAGTTTTCTTTACAAACACCACCAATAAATGAATCAGGAGCATATGTTGGAAATAAAAGTTGGACTTTCTACATGTTTAAAATGCTAAAGAATGCTGAAAAATTCCAGTTTAAAACAGCTGCATTTTTCTTGAGTGAACTTACGAAAAATTTTTGCAAAAGCCAAAACCCAAGTTATGTTCAGTCTAACCATGGATACTCACTGCAAAGCTCCTGATGGATCAGTGCAGTGTTTTAAAATTCAATTTCCAGGCCCCTGGTCTTTATTATTTTGACCCCCGATCAAAGGAAAAGCAGAACTCATTTATCGGTGTCCCCCCCCGCCCCCCACTTATCTGGGTAGACCACAAGTACATTTGCCTCGAATATTCTGGGTCCATTATATCTCAAGCATTTACAGTGATGACAAAACATAATCTCGATGCTGTCACAAGGAAGACTGTAAAAAAATTCTCATGTCCCATCTTCTCATTCATAGCTAGATTTAGCAAAATTTTCCTTCTCTTAAAGTTATTGAATTAGAACAATATTAAACAATATATAGATATTAGAAAAGAATGGGTCCTGACCCAGAAAGCTCTCAAAGAGAAAAGTCTCCTAATTTTTCTCTTGTTCCAGATAGTCATATACACTATTAAGTTCTGGAGAACTAAGAAAGGCCTGATTATGCATAAACATCATATAGAACATTTTCTTCTGAGGGAAGCAACGTCCATTCTTTGAAGCCCCTAATGCTAAACATGATCTAACTGTTTCACACACGCGAAACGTGAATTGGAAAGCCAAGGGAGCTAAAACTTACCAAAGGATACTTCATCTCTGTGTCTTCTGGTTACTAGAGCTGACTGAGCACTAACTACATAGACGGCAGAGATGGCATGGAATATATAGTACTGTGGAGAAAAATGGCAAGAGGAAAGGTAAAGCTGTTCACAATGCCCAGGTCAGGCTGGCTCTGCAGGGGGTGGGGAACGTGTGTAAGGCGCTAGAAGTGAGCACAGCCTGGTGGATGGAGAACAGGTAATTTTACAGAGTAAATATACATCCCTAAAAAATAGTTCAGGACGTTCCCTCAGATACTACACTGACAATATAGTCTATAAAAATGCAAACCACTAAGTAACACTTTAAAGCAACCTACATCTCAGTGATGAAGAGCCAGTCTTCTGCTCACTGCCTAGGTAACAACAGTAAATGCCAGGAAGCTTGCAGTAGCGGGAGAACACATGGGATTCTGTTAGGGTTGTGGAATTGGAGCCATAAGCCATCATCTGAATCAAACTATTGATGAAAGGTTCTCTGGAGGAAAGAAAGGAGGAGATGCATGAGAACAGCCTAAGCAATCTGTCATTAACTGTGTAAGGCTAGTGAAGTACATTAGACACGCTGGGGGCTAGATAAAGATGTACACTATGCATTCAGCACTGCACTGCAGAAGAAGTACAATGTAAAAGGCGGAGGCAAACTTAACACGGCATTCCTGCCTCTGGTCAGAGAGAACTATCCTCCCAACTCAAAAAGGAAACAGTTCCTGAAAATTCCTAAAATCAAAACCAAAACAAAGTAACAACAAAAACCAAAAAAGAAATAAACTCCAAACCAGGAAATAAAGGCTTTCTCTATTTTTTTTTTTTTTGACAATTTTACCTTGCTGAGGTACACTCCCTACATCTATAGCAAGCTTATAAGGGTATTCTTTAAAAGAAACAATCAAGCATACTATACAGGTTAAAATGACAAGGAGTAAATGCAGCTTTTTGAAGAGTAAATAGCACATTTGTTTTCAGAAACAGGTTTCTTAAAAGATACTAGAATTATGTTTTCTTTTTGCTGTGTGTATAAAACTTCACCTAGATGGTGAATCCTTTACTACTAGTGAATTGACTGCTTTTGACCAGAAAAGAAATGCTAAGGACATAGGCTCAATTTTCTAATTTGAGAAGTCCATTTTAGTGGATCTGCTATAGTCAACAGACACCTGTTATTTAGCGGTCACTTTGAGACTTTAAGATTCAATTCTCCCTCTTGCTTATAGAAAGTAACACTTTTTAAGAGATCAAGAATCACACATACACACGCATGCACACACACTCACTCAGAAGTACCAAAGCAGGCCCCAACAGCTACAGAGAGATTACACGTGCGATCTCACTCAGCTGTGCCCGGGTTGCTCACGTCACACGGGCAGCATTCAAGATCAGAAAAAATGAAACGGCAGCACAACGGATCAGCAGCTTCTCTTCTGGAATTCTTCCAGGTTCTTGAAACAAACAGACACACAAACAAATGAATGGACATAAAGCTGCAATCACTCTTGCATTGATTTCAAAACAGTAAACGAGGTGGTTCCCTCGGAGAAGCAGAGCCCATCCGGAAGACAGCAGCTAGGAGGTCTCCAGCCAGCGATCCTCGACAGCTCTGCAAGGCTTCCTCGGGGGACCCCTCAGCCACCAAGGAGGTCCTCCGGATGATCAGCTCAAGGCAGGTTAGGCGGTATTCATTTCTGAGCTGTTCTGGCTGGGCGGCAGGTGGGAATCCAGCTTTTCCTTGCACCTCTCCAGATCGTGGAAGTAGGGGTGAGACAGGGCACTGTATGCTGATATTCTTTTGGCTGGATTAAATGTCAAGCACTTCTGTGATGGAGAAAAAATAACAGTGACATAAAACATGTCCATGTGCTTACATAGTTATGTATCTCTTCACTGTCATGTGTTAGGAGGAGGGCTTGGCAACCCACTCCAGTATTCTTGACTGGAGAATCCCATGGACAGAGGAGTCTTGCAGGCTACACGCCACAGGGTCTCAGAGGGTCGGGCACAAATGAAGCAACTTAGCATGCATAATGAGAATGGATATCTACTTCCAGGGACACTAAATACAACGTAGAGAGCACTCATCTGATGTTGTTGTTGAGTCGATAAGTTGTGTCCCACTCTGCGACCCATGGACTGCAGCCCACCAGGCTTCCCTGCCCTTCACTGTCTCCTGGAGTTTGCTCAGATTCATGTCTGTTGAGTCGGTGATGCCATCCAACCATCTCACCCTCTGCTGCCCTCTTCTCCTTTTGCTTCATCTTTTACATGTCCCTAATGTATAAACTGCCCCTCAGGAAAAGGCAACACCTTTTGGATTGCCTGTGGACTGTTACCTACCCAGATTTCTTTCCAACTCAATCATATTATTATTACAGCATGTGGGGGTGGTGGTTTAGTCGCTAAGTTGTGTCTGACTCTTTACTGTAGCCCGCAAAGCTCCTCAGTCCATAGGATTTCCTGGAAAGAATCCTGGAGTGGGTTGCCATTCCCTTCTCCAGGGGATCTTCTCAACCCAGGGATGGGGATCTTCCTGAACCAGGGATTGAACCCAGGTCTCCTGTTCGGCAGCCAGATTCTTTACCACTGAGCCACCTGGGAAACCCTTATTACAGCATGCATATAACTTTAGGGAAGTGATTTTTCTAATGCTAGCAAACTTGGTGCCATAGGCAGTCTTCACCCTGATTTTTCACTCTGCCCAAGTTTTATCCACGGACGGGAAATGGAAAGGGGTTGCTTTGTTCCGGTGTAAGGCTAATTACTGAACACAGGGCCAGTGGAGGGGCAACAAGTAAGCGCTAAACCTAGACCCTGACTATCCCGATCCACTCGCAAGTCATGTAGCCCACCCTAGGGCTGTGTCTCCCGGAGGAAGAGATGGCTTCCTTCTAATTCATGTCAAGGTGCCACATGGGCTAGCAGTAGCCGTGCAGGGAGACACTAGATTTAATTCAAGTCACTACACTATTTCAGGCTGCTGACCAAGTGCGGGCAGAAGGTGAGAGGAGAGGAAAGCAGCCATCTGCCTTCCTTAGCTGCCAATACGCAATCAAATTAGTTATTAACATTCTTCTAATTTCAGTTCCATTTCCACTCCAACCCCAGGCAATCGTGTTCTTCAAATCCTCCCCCTCTCCTCTACCAACTCCTCCAGCATGCCCAGCAGGTGGTCAGCACTCACTAGCGATGAGTAACATCCCAGATAGCCACACCACTGCCTCAGGAGCTCCCAGGGAGCAGAGAAGCCACGCAAGCGCCTCCATCCTTGTGCCCAGTGTCTGCTGGCGCGGCTGGCGATCTGAGATGTCTCTGAATCTCAGTCTTCTACGTCAGTGGTCCTCAGCCTTTTGGGCACCAGGGACTGATTTCGTGGAAGACAGTTTTTCCATGGATGGGGGTGGGGGTGGGATGGTCTGGGGACAATTCAAGGGCATTACATTTATGGTGCGCTTTATTTTTAATCTAATGCTACTGCTGATCTGACAGGAGGTGCTGGTCTGTGGCCCAGAGGCTGGGGACCCCTGCTGTCTGTAATCTAGCTTTAACATTATCACAATTAGGTAGACCTCTTCCATTTAATCTGAGCCCTTGAGTCTTTCACAGTCCTGATTGGATTAGGGACTCCTAAAACTCTGCTGAATACAACTGACCTAGAAAAGTACAAACAGAAAATCCTACATTTAACTTCAAGTGAATTTTTGGGTTCCCCCAAATCTTATTTATCCTGAGCTCCCCACCAGTCCATGGATGCCAACTTGTCTTCCGAAAATTAGACCCAAAGAACAAGCAGAGGAAGGAGCTTGTTCTACTGTCTCTAATAGCAATAAACATCTTGAGAAAAGCTTTACAAGGGCTGAATTCTCAAAGGACAGGAAAGCAGAGGCAAAATTCTTAAGCCTGAGTGCTCTCTTCCCAGAGTCCAAGAAGGAGAAAATTACGTAGTGACATTAGAAAAGGAAGTCGCTAGTTTAATTCCCAGGACATAGGAAAGAAGAAAAAAAAAAAAGTTGTGGAAATATGTCCAAGATAGAGACATCCCTAGAGGACTATCTGGGAGGAAGCCCTGTTCCCACACGACACGGATGGCTTAGAGCTGGGAGTGTGGTAGAGAGGAGAGCTCCTTAGTCTATGGCGGGGCGTGTGTGTGAGAATCTCAAGCCGGAGGTTGTAACACATTTTGTCCTACAGAAATATTGTTAGAAAAAGTGCTCGAGTCTTATTATTGCTCTGCTTCACCAGAGCAACTGGCTATTTTGAGAATTAATTTCAAAGTCTTGCATAATAATGTTGTTTCTGCAGAAAAATATAATTTGCTTGCCAAATAACTGGCTTAAAATGAGCTTTTGGAATGGCTAGTTGACTACTACAGTGGATCTGGATCACTTTCCAACACAAATTTCCTTCCTTTCCTTCTTCTCTGCCTCCACTGGGGGAGTATTTGTTCTATTAGAGTTGGCCTTGGCCGTGTAATTTCCATCGGCCAATGGAACACGGACAGAAATAGCAGGGTACCTTTTCCAAGCCTACCTAGGCTGTTAGGGGCATCGTATATTTCTGCCTGCCCTTCTGGGAGGACCCACCTTCCTTCTATGATGAGAAAAACACGCCCCAGGGAGCCAAAGTCCCTTTGGCCTGGGTCCCAGAAGGTAACACATGGGCAAGACCAGTACTTGACCCACTGGCTGAAGAAGAGTTGTTTCAGATGACTCACAGAGCTGTTTCTGCCAACGTGCAGACCCAAGAGCAAGAGACAAAGGTTTACTGCTGGATGCTCGTCAGATATTTCTTTCAGTTGTTTGTTATGCAGCAGAAGCAGACGAATACAAGTATCCAAAAAAAAAAAAAAAAAAGGTACAACCTCAGGCTCTGAAAGCAGTTAGATACCAAGAACCCCAAAACTTCTTTTCTACAAGAGCATCACGTCTGGAGGACGTACCCAGCCTCCAAAGTTAATCATGATGAACGGGGCCAAAGTTGTAAAGATATGTAGGTTTGGGTTGCTAAAAATAATTCTTCCCCTGAAGTGTCTTGTTACTGCACACTACTTTCCTTATAGATTTACACAAGAGTGTTCATAACTGTGGATGTACATCTCCATACACGTATGACTGAAGCATTATATAAAGTCGACTTTTTTTCAGATAGAAATGAAGGATTACTCTTAAGGTGTTAAATTTTTAAATGTTAATTGTCACCAATTTCCCTTTCCCTTGCCCTCCTCAGTAAAACATCTTCAACGGAGGAACAGCACTTTGAGGGTTGCAGGGGCCTCTCTTATACTGAATGGCCTGTTTTCTCAGCTTCACAGTTCTAACTCGTGTCCCTCTAAGATGAAACAGTGAGAGCTTTTAGATAGTTCTGAGGTTTAAGGTCTTGGACTGTCCTTTCCCTGAATGTCTGTGCATATCATGCTTCATGCTTAACCCTTAGCTGGTCATGATATTCCTGGCTCTGCTTTTTACATTTTTTTAAATTGACTGTTGGCTGTGCTGGGTCTCTGCTGCTGTGTGCGGTTTTCTCCAGTTGTCGTGCGCAGGCTTCTCATCGTGGTGGCCTCTCCGGCTGTGGAGCATGGGCCCTAGGGCATGCAGGCTTTGTAGCTGTGGCACACAGGCTTAGTTGCTCTGTGGCTTGAGTGATCTTCCCAGACTAGGGATCGAACCCGTGTCCCCCTGAACTGATGGGCAGATTCTTAACCACTGGACCACCAGGGGAGTCTGAGCTCTGCTTTTTATTCCTCTCCTTTGCTTTTCTAGTCTCTGCTGCCACTCCTTATCTACCGACTTCCTTCTCGCTTCGGTAGGTTTCTTTGCTCCTTTTTCTTTTTCTGTCTCCTGCTGCTTCTCCAGACTAGCACTCATGTGTAGTCTGGCTTTGAAAGCCACCACTACTCTCAGGGGACCTGAATAAACACAGGGGACTGTTTGTTATCTTCACATTTTAAGCTCCTCTCAGTGATTCCTACTGATGTTGGGGCCAGGAAATCTTTGGGGCTGTCTTTGGGTGTTCCAGTAGCTGAAAGTGTGGGTTACTTTACTTAAAGTTGTTCATCATTGTGACTCTCTACCCAGAACCCTCTACTAAGAGAAACATTTCATTCAAAGCTCCTGCTGAAAAGGAAAGCCTATGGTGGCCATATTTTACATCAGGGAGTCCTCACCCGCTCCCAGCATAGCTGATTGGGCCAGGAGTGCAGCTTGGCCTTCAGTACCGACCCATACCATGGTTTGGCAGCAAAAGGGTGAGGTGTGCCAGCCATATTCCTCTTTGTAAGAATCAGATGAAGGAAACAGAGACAGGGCAAATGCTAGCAGAGGGACTGCAGCTGAAAGGATGCGTGAATCAGTTGAAGTTCTGGTAGTCAAGGGGCCAGCTGATGTTAAGAGGAACAGACAGTAGAACTGACAAGAAGCAATAAGGAGGAGTAAAGGGCAGGGACAAGTGGAACTGGTAAGAGAAGGTGATGCGCAGAACAGTGACATACTCTGGATGGCTCTCCACCTGCAGGCCACCAGAAGCCATCCATCAAATCTCCTTTTCTTAAGGTAATGCAAATACCTGTTTGGTCGCGTTTTGGGTTAAAGAAAGATTCCCCAAACAATAATTACATAAGATTAGAGTCTGACCCCCCCAGATGAGCTGTGAAATGTAAGAGAAAATCAAGGAAGAAATTTCCTCGATAGCAGGTAAACCTTTGGCTGTGTATACAGTATGCAGTGAGCCCCTTTGTCTAGGTGAATGTTCTCTCTAATTAATCTATCTCAAAGGATGCGGGCCAAGGTCCTTAGTGAGTGTCTTACAAAGAAACAGCAGGGAGGGTATAGGGCTGTCCTCATCTGTAATGTGGAAGTGGAGGGAACTTTTGCCTAACCATCAGGAAATGAGCCACCATAAGGTGAAGATGGAGTTAGGGCTTTCACTGGGAAAAGTCCATGGTTCTGCAAACAGGCCAATCAGTGGCTGTGTCCATACAGAGCTGAAGCATAACATTTCTACTCGGACCTATAGACTCTTAGGTCTGTATCTAAAATTTGTAATACACTGACAGAATGGGAGCACTGGCTCCTCTGAGCCTAGGAGCACTTTCTTGGCTAGGTATCAAAGGTTGTTCATTTGGCTGGTAAAGAATACACTCATTACTACTCACTGGGTTCCAGACACCAGGAGAAGTCCAGTAGGTACATTTTTCTACTCTGCCCTACTCTCCAAGTACAGGGAATTATGTGCAAAGCCAAGTATATGAGTCTGAGTCTCAAACAGGGCACAGATCTTTGTTTTTGGTGAGGTATTTTATATGTCAGGGCACGTTCAATACTTCTTAAATAAATCAGTAACTGGAAGGAGTCTTGCTATTTGGTTCCTTTGGAAAAACATCTTCCTCAAGATGTGCCTGTTTAAGAAAAGACACATTTAAAATGCCAAACAAGCTGCTTAAAGTAGCAGGAAAGTGTAAACAAGGAAACATAATATTTACTTCTACTGAAGCATATGTTTAGACGAATCCAGAGGATTCTAAGGCTGCATTCAAAAGAACATTAAAAAATGGCAGAATGAAAGTGTGTGAATCAGACTCTTTTCCTTTCTATAGGACCTGAAGACACTGCAGAATCAAAAGTCACTAGCCACCATAGGGGTAGGAATGAAAGCTCTGTCCTGTGAGCTTGTGGCATGTGAGGCTGAACTGATGCTGTGCCCAGCGCCCAGTGTGGACATAGGACTTGTCAGTAGCAATAACAATTCACTGCATATCAATGCAATATCAATGCATATCAATATCAATGCATTATCATCATAAGAGGGAAGTAACATCATTAATCTAAAATGTGTAGGCAGTGCATCACCAGCACACTAAAAATATTAGCTGATGAATTCTATTCATGAGCGCAGAGAAGACCAACGCTGCATCATGTGAACTTACCAGAAGTAGGTCTTTGCCTTGTTCATCAATGTCTGTTACAAACTTCTCAATTGGTTGAGGAGATTTTGAGTGAAAAGCCTGCCTGGGTAGGGCAACATCTCTAGGCCAGTCCTCTTCTCCCGGGAGTCCAATTACGCTACAAAAGAACCACAGGTGAATGTAAGCATGAGCTATTGTGCTGAAGCGACTTTTCTACCAATTCCAGAAGAAGGTGAAGTCTACGGGAGGGGCCTGGGGGAACACGGAGCCCCGGGAGTCCACCACTTGTATGGCCGGCAAGACTCTTCTCTGTCCTGCTGCAACATGGTGATCCTGGGGTGGAGGGCAGTCTCACAGGAGAATTATAAAGAGCCACTGGGAAGAGAGAAATGTAATGACTCTGGCAGCAGCTGCAAAATGTAAGAGATCATGCAGAAATGGAAACTATTACCAATAGCCCCGAAACACTGTCAGACCAGGATCTATATACTCAAAGGAGACCCGCATGGACACATCATGTTTTCCTGTATGCTTTTTGTGTCCTGATCAAACACTGCTGGATTGACACGCTTTTAGGATGCTCATCTAACATGATTTGTTGACACGTAAACTGAGTTGCATTTTGGGTTAAAGAATGAGTCCCCAAACAGAAATTACATAGAGTCAGACCCCCCAAATGAGGCTAAAAGGTATGTTAGTTCTGTATAACACAAACACTATTTTATCATTTAATATCAAATTTAACTTATTACATATTACAAATTTAACTTATTTACATATTTTATATAATCATTTTTTGGTATTTCAAAGTGATCAAACAATTCATTAAAAAACCCATTATCTTTTGTTTCTTCTGAGACTCATCCTAGGATCAGAAATGCAGAGAAAGAACTAAGTGATATAAAAACAGCACACGCTTTAGAAACAGGCAGAACTGGGTTCAGATCCTGAACTTGCCTTATTGGTAGGTAAGAACAAATTATTTAACTTTTATTTATATGACAAGGATGATAATTTGTGGTGTTAAGGATCAGCAATGATTTCTATAAAATGCACAGCACAATGCCTGGCACACAGGATCTGTCAATATCAAGATCAATGTACTGCATATCAATGAATATCAATATCAATGCATTACCCATTAGTATCATAAGAGGGAAATAATGTTATTAATCTAAAATGTGCAGGCAATGCATCACCAACTCACTGAAAATATCAACTGACGAGTTCTACGGGTGTGTGACTTAAGGTTCTTCAGAACTATTAGGCCTGGGGCCTTACACAACTTATACATTATGTAGATGTTCCTTATAACTTTACATATATAGGTAGTAGTAGGTTTGAACAAGGAAATTCAGGGGAAGCAAGATCTTATATCTCATATAGACTCTGATTAAATCTGAACTCTGGTTGGTGCAGTGGTAAAGAATCTGCCTGCCAATGGCAGGAGATGCAAGAGATGCAGTTCAGTCTCTGGGTCGGGAAGATCCCCTGGAGAAGGAAATGGCAACCCGCTCCAGCATTCTTCCCTGGGAAATCCCATGGACAGAGGAGCCTGGTGGGCTATAGTCCATGGGGTCGCAGAGAGTCGGATACAACTTAGCGACTAAACAACAACCACAAGAAATATTAGAGTTTAGCGGACAGAATGCATGGCTATTCACACATTGAGCGAACTCTTGACTACAGGTAGAAATGGTGCTGCCCTGCATTATAGTCTCCTTGGCCAGTACTTGCCGAGACTGACAGGCCTGGGTGGTGGTGTGTTGGGGTGTTCTCCCGAGTGGGTCTCCAGGGTGTAGGAACAGGTAGTGGTACATTTCACAAGATTTCTGCAGGACTTTGTTCCCCTCCTCTTACCTCGACAGAGCCCAGGCCACAGATCTCACCTGGGAAGAGCAGACACCTGCCACGGGGGTGTCTGGAGAGACACTGCTATCCTACCTGCATCAGACATGCAGGGAGAGCCAGGTTGCTGAGGGAGATAAAGACAGACTCACAGACACACGGAAACAAGTGACGGGAAATGGGAGCCTGAGCAACACACAGGCTTGTTTAGTAGCAAGATCTAGAATAAGAATAAAAAGAAGAAAGCGGAAACGTTACCATTAATTACGTAAAAAAAGATTTGTGTGTGTTTGGACAGAATGGGACAGGCAGAGGAAGAACAGAAGGATGTTTACTAAATAACTTTAGAAATTGTCTTTCTTTCATTTTTGGCTTTCTGGCCATTTTTATATCAATATTTTTGTGTACTGTTACCAGTTACCTAGAAATCAGTTATAACAACTCAGTGCAAATTGAAAATCTCTTTTTATTTGCAGTTTTGAATTTATTTATATTAAGTCTGGCAATGTTGGCAGCTGAATACCAAAAGTTCTCAGAAAGACAGTGTCCCTGTATGTATATAAATAAATTTTAAAAGTGTTTTAAAATCTACCGCCTCCTGAGACATATAGCTTAGCTATTATTATTTTCATTATATAGGTGCGGAAACTTAAGATGAGGAATAAAATGAACTGTCAAAGCCACACACATAGAGTTCAGCCCAGAGGCTGGAGAGAGCTTACTCCAAATCCAGTATTTTATTTCCATTTCACTATGACTCTGCTCTTAAAAATGCTCTAAAATGTCACGGACTGAAAGCACTCAGTTTCATTTTTAAAGTACTTGCTGTCCTTTGTTGTTTTTTTTTTTTTTCCCACATTTTGGTCACTTTATTAAATGACATTAAATAGTTTAAGTTTCAACTACTAAACAGCACTTTGAATGGTGAAAACACAGATAGTATTATTGTCATACTTGAATGCTTTTCTTTAAAAAACTTGCTGTCCTTTGAAAGTATAAATCTTCTTAAACACAGAAAGAATTTTCCCCTTAAGAGAATGTGAATACGGCTTCCCTTTAAAATATATTCAGTTTAATATCTATTATGAACTTTTATGGTCCATACATGAGTATTGTGAAATTCTAATAGGTCCATTCAAAAGGGCGTGCATCAAATTTCAGTATTTGGATCAAGCTGAATATAAGCCTTACAAGTAGACATTTGTATTGGAAAGAGCGCAGAACCTGTAAAAGTGAAAGTCACTCAGTTGTGTCCAGCTCTTTGCGACCCCATGGACTATACAGTCCATGGAATTTTCTAGGCCAGAATACTGGAGTGGGTAGCCTTTCCCTTCTCCAGGGGATCTTCCCAACCCGGGGATTAAACCCAGGTCTCCTGCATTGCAGGTGGATTCTTTACCAGCTGAGCTCCAAAGGAAGTCCACAAAACCTATAAATGGCATGAATGGCTGGAACAGAAATTATTTTTCAAGTACTTCAATGGGACACTAGGGTGCAGCATTGTCCCTTTTCTCTACGCCAAAGTAATGAAAGCGCTCGGAGGAAACGGAACAAAATTACAGTGACACAAGGCCAGAAATCAAGAAGTAAAATCTAAAGGCACAAAATGTATCGAGCTTCATGGCTTCTTTTCTGCTGGCAACTTAGGATCTCAGGCCTTTTCCAGAAGTGGAACTGGCTTCCCTTGGGAGCAAGTCAAATGTGTTTGTCAAAGATTCCTTCTGGTCCATCTCATGGGCTTCACGCATTTGGGGCACCAGCAGTGTTAAGAAGGGCGCTGGAGTCAGACAGAGCACCCAGATGGGGTCAGGTAGAAAAAGCAGGCGGAGACCTCGGTGTCTGACAAGCTGGCTTTAGTCAAGAGTGTTCTTACTTTTAACAGGAGGATCACAGGTAGGCCTGACTCTCACGGTTGCCTCTTCACGATCACATGCACACAAAACATACTCAACAGGGAAAGGCAAGAACAGATGGGAGTTCATCCCTGAATGATCGGAGAACCTGACACCCAGAAGCAGAGTCACGTGCAAGTCTGGTCCTGAGTTCGTCCATCCTACAGAGTGGACAGTAGCAGCGGCAGGAGCAGTCACTGTGGTACCTGTCCTAGACCTGGGAAGCCCCCAGACAGTAAAAGGAGCACATGTTTTTTTTCAGGCCTGAAAGCCACTGGGTCTGACACTCAGCAGTGATGCTGGCACTCACAGAAGTCTGCTGCAGCTGCTTCTAGTAGCCAAAAGAACAAACTCAGGCTCCCGTTTTATCCCAACTGTCTTCAGCAGCTATGCATGAGAGGACAGTGCTAAAATATAATGCTTTTCTTTAGGGGGACTTTTCATCAGTTTTGCAGCCTGAATATCATAATAATCACTGGGATTCCTATCAAATGGAACAGACCAATGACTGGAGCTATTTTTGGTCCTAGAACTCCCATTTCTTTTCTTGCCACTCCAATCCTATAGAGTTTGGCAAACACACAGAATCCCCACAGGATGCCCTACTGCATGCTCTGTGAGAAGAAAAGCCTCTTCTTCACATTCTAGACACACAGAAGCACCCACAGCCTCACATGCACAAACACGCAGACTCTTAACGGAACTCTGAAAATCGTCAAGGAGCTACGTCACAGACAAATGGAACCAAAGAGTTCGAGCACAAGGGAGGACCTTTACGTGTCACTTCTCAGGTGAAGAAGAACAAAAAGATGAAACAATTAATGATGAATTACAGTAAGAGCCAGCATTCTTACAAGCATTTACTACCTAACACCGGGCATCAGTGTTCAAAGTGACCCTCTCAAGACTGCATAGCTCTTTAGCCACAGACAGAGGAATGGAACCTAGGATTCTCATTTCCTTTTTCAGTGTTCCAAAGAAAAATCAATTAAGTAGCAGACCACCCTTTGCCCAGGAAGACAAAACCAAACAATGTAAAGCCAACCTGGTTGATTACAGGATGTTCAATGGGGACACGAAGCCCAGTGAATAAGGATGGGTTCTCAGGCCACTGAGCGCGCCACCCTCTGATGGTGGAAGCATCTGAAAAGACCCCAAGCAGACAACACAACAGAACTAAAGAACGGGCGCTCGGCCAAGCAAAGGGGAGCTGCCAAAAGAGCCACACGAGCAATACACAAGCTTCCAGGGCAGAGCAGTCAGGCCGCATGTCATGACGGGCTCTGCACGAAACGGCACGTCTGCCACGTCCCCACTCACCACACAAATAGTAACACTGTCTGCAGCAGCGGCTTGGGGTAGGAGAGACAAGAGATAAACGTATTATATGAACGTCAGAGGAAGGTCACCGTAAACATTCTAATGCTACAGACACGATGTAAAATCACAGGTACTACTTACTCCAAGATTTTTCCTAGTTGGTCGACATCTGAACTTCCACGAAAAAGAGGCCTGAAAGAAAGACACACATTAAACAAGGAATTTTCTCCAGTTGCATTTCAATCCTATTTGTCCTGATGATTATTTAACAGAAATCAAAATATTCTTTGGGTGGACCTTTCGTAAATGAAACTTTTTCTTGCAAACCTTCTAGTCTCAAACCAGAGGTTTGTGGAATTCTTTGAAATTACTCTTGGTCAGATCCTTCTCAGAGCACCCTTCCTTTTTCTGTAATTGAAGTATAGTTGATTTATAATATGTTAGTTTCAAGCATACAGCAAAGTTTTCCAACTCTTTCGCTATATATGGATATATGTATATGTATGAACGTATTATATGTGCATGTGTGCACGCTCAGTCGCTTCAGTCATGCCTGACCTTCTGTGACCCTAAGGATTGCAGCCCTCCAGGCTCCTCTGTCCACAGAATTCTCCAGGTAAAAATACTCAAGTGGGTTGCCATTTCCTTCTCCAGGGGATCTTCCCAGCCCAGGGATCGAACCAGGGTCTCCTGCATTGCAGGCGGATTCTTTTTTTTTTTTAACTTCGTTTATTTATTTTAATTGGACGATAATTTCTTTACAATATTGTGGTGGTTTTTGCCATACATCGACATGAATCACACATGGGTGCACGTGTCCCCCCATCCTGAACCCCCCTCCCACTTCCCTTCCCTACTGCATCCCTCTGGGTTGTCCCAGAGCACTGGCTTTGAGTGCCCTGCTTCATGCATCGAACTTGCACTAGACATCTATTTCACATATGGTAATACACATGTTTCAATGCTATTCTCTCAAATCATCCCACCCTTGCCTTCTCCCACACAGTCCAAAAGTCTGTTCTTTACATCTGTGTCTCTTTTGCTGTCTTGCATACAGGGTCGACATTACTGTCTTTCTAAATTCCATATATATGCATTAATACATGGTATTGGTGTTTCTTTTTCTGACTTACTTCACTCAGTATAATAGGCTCCAGTTTCATCCACCTCATTAGAACTGACTCAAACATGTTCTTTTTTATAGCTGAGTGATATTCCATTGTGTATATCTACTACAACATCCTTATCCATTTGTCTGCCAATGGACATCTGAGTTGCTTCCATGTGCTGGCTATTGTAAACAGTGTGCAGGTGGATTCTTTATCGCTGAGCAACTGGGGAAGCCCATATGTACAAAAACATATATTTAAATTATTTTCCACTGTAGGTTATTACAAGATATTGAATAGAGTTTCCTGTGGTATACAGTAGGTGCACATCTATTTTATGTATAGTAGTTTGTATCTATTAACCTCACACTCCTGATTTATCCCTTCCTCCTCACTTTTCCCTCTGGTAACTGTAAGTTTGTTTTCTGGCAGAGTGCCTTTCTTTAATATCACTCTGTTATCACAGTACTTGCTCATGGGTCTCTCTCCTTCCACTTGTCTGGAGTGCTGCAGTGAGCTACCTATGGGGCTGTTTTTTCTGATTATACCACGTCCCTTTCTCCCAGTTTTATGACAGCTAACTAGCACAAGTTCAAAATCCTAACTCTGGGCTTCAGAGGCAATTGTGAACATGCAAGCCTCATTATCTACACCAAGCATTTAACTGGCAACTCACCCGGGGACAAGTGAACTCACTTGGGGACATTTCTGGCACGTTCTTTTTTTTTTTCCTGGCACTTTCTTAAGCAGGGAGCAGGAAGTTTTCTAGGTCTGTCCCCTAACCTTTGACCTAGTGCTTTACCTGAACCGGTGTCCAGTTAATACATATTTTATTTTACATATCCTATGGTACACACGTACAAGTTCCCTAACTCCCGGTTCAATGAATGACACCAAAAGGTATTTTTCAACAGCCATGTGTTTTTAAAAATATGTGCTGCCTATTATCAGAGATATTCTTAAAATATTACATATCAAGAATAAGGCCTTAAACTGGACCTCTTAAATATTTTTACACACAATAAATTAACATGCGATATAAGCTATATATGGAGACCTTTGCAAAGTCACTGCAGTTTAGTGGCGAGAAGACACCGTAAAATTCCTCAACCATACTTTCCATTCAGGCCATTGTTCTTGAAAATCATTCTTTTCTTTTTGTTTGTTTTATTTTTAGCCACACCACAGCTTGCGGGATCTTAGTTCCCAGACCAGGGATCAAACCAGTGGCCCCTTCTCTGGACGTGTGGAGCCCTGACCACTGGACACTAGGGAATTCTCAAAAATGGTTATTTTCAAACGCAGTGGAAAATAATTTATTTGTGGTGTCACAGGTGAGACAGTGTTCGCGTCCCCCAACCCCCAATTCACGTGGCAGCCCAGCCCCAGTGCCTCAGAATGAGGCTGTATTTAGATACAGTCTTGAAAGTGTCACTCAATTGCGCCTTATCTGTGACCCCACGGACAGCAGCCTGCCAAGCTCCTCTGTCCATGGAGTTCTCGAATACTGCAGTGGGTTGCCATTTCCTTCTCCAGGGGATCTCCCCCACCCAGGGATTGAACCCGGGCCTCCTGCACTGCAGGCAGACTCTTTACCATCTGAGCCACCAGGGGAGCCCACTTTAAAGTGATAGGTGAGTTCAAATGAGGTCACAAGGATGGCTCTCATGCGGCCAGAGTGGAGTCCTTCTGAGATGAGGAGTCCAGAGGCACGCGTGCCCACAGAGAAGCGATCACATGAGCACACAGCGGGAAGGTGAGCCAAGGATGGCTCTCATGCGGCCAGAGTGGAGTCCTTCTGAGATGAGGAGTCCAGAGGCACGCGTGCCCACAGGGAAGCGATCACATGAGCACACAGCGGGAAGCTGAGCCAAGGAGAGCGTCCTCAGAGAAACCCGACCGCCTGACACCTTGATCCTGGGCTTTCGGCCTCCAGAACTGTCAGAAAACAAACTTCTGTCGCTGAAGCCACTCGGGTCTTCAGTATTTTGCTGTAGCAACCCTGGCAAACCAGCACAGACATCACTAATGCAGCCGAATTAGTAAAGAATTGTGGAGTTGGTGGGATCCCCTAGTAGCCCAGTGACTGAGACGCCCTGCTCCCAGGGCAGCGGGCCTGGGTTCGATCCCTAGCTGGGCAATGAGGGCCCACATGCCGCAACGAAGAGTTTGCTTCCCGCAGCTAAAGATCCCACGTGCTGCAACCACGGCCTGGCACGGCCGAATGAACAAACAAACATTAGAGAAGTTATGGGGCTGGGTTCTAGAAGACATCCAGAGCAGTCTTAAAAGATAGCAAGGTGAGAAGTGAACCTTTCTGAAACGCTCAATAGTGGAATCTTAACGGCTGTGATTTATACGGCACTGGTGTGGTATCTGACACAGTGCCATGGGCTGCCCTAACATTATCTCATTTAACTCTCACAAAAACTTCAGGAGCAAGACAGAATGACTATCATCCCTATTTTCTGATGAGGAAACCGAGGACTAGAGAAGCTTCATGACTTACCTAAGCACTCATAAGAAACTGCAGGCGTGAAATTCAAACCAGGTCTGCTGGAAGCTTCCTTATTCTGTTGCTCTACTTTGATTTTGGTTCCTAATGCTCCCTGCAATCACAGACAGCCCCTTTAGCCGAGCCTCTGGGCTGAAGCAGCACAGGGAGCCTTGACGAGCACTTCGTAGAGAACCTGATGTCTTGTAAGTGGGTGCCTATGGGTTTTATGAAAAGTTATTCGTTTATTAACGGCTGTGCTGGGTCTTGGTTGCTGCACATCAGCTTTCTCTACTTGCAGTGCAAGGGCTTCTCACTGTGGGGGCTTCTCTTGTTGCAGAGCTCTGGCTCTAGGCCACGTGGACTCACGCAGTACTTGTGGCGTGAGGGTTTAGTTGCCCCTTGGCATGTGGAATCTTCCTGGACCAGGGATCGAACCCATGTCCTCTGCATTGGCAGGTGGATTCTTAACCACTAGACCACCAGGGAGGTCTGTCTATGGGATTCTTACATTGCTTTGCAAGCATCCAACCATCTTTAAATTCTTGCTCTACCTGAACAAGGAACAAAGCAATTCACCAGATCAAGGCTTTCCATCCTCTTCATAAAAACTTACTGACTGATGGCCCTTCTACATCTTTAAATTCTTCCTACAGCCCAATCTTTTATAGCTGTTTAGCTCACACATCTTTGTGGATACATCATCTCTTAATCCTTTGGAAAGCACAGAACTCAAGTCGCACAGAATCAACAGTTCTCTTTCTTTTCACACTCACCTATTTCCTTAATATTAAAAGTATAAATATATAAAGCTGAGTATAGCCGGCATTAGGTTTGGGAACAGAAACAAAAGTCCCCTCCTTGTTAAGCAAGTATCTGAGACGGCTGGAGTGGTGAGGGTGCCAGGTCAGTGAGCAGAGAGGAGCAGGGAGCATCGGTCTAATCTGCTGAGCTGGTTAAGTTGCTATGTCAACATGCCAAGCCCCTCACCCTTCATGAAAAAGACTGGTATCCACAAGCATGAGTGAAATTACTTGCGAGGATTATGGAGCAGTTTAAAATAAGTTTGTTGGCATAGCTCTTGGGGGACAAACAAAGCAGGTTAACTTGAATGGATGTTTCCAGGCAAAGGCGTAAGAACATCTCTTTCTCACGGGTGGGTCCCGAGACAGCCTGAAGCTCGGCTATAACGGTAGTGGCTCTTGTCCTTACTGTTTTGGTTTCCAGCTCTCCTCTTGTTTTTGTCCCTTGGCAATATTCTAGCTTTTTTTTTTTTTTTTTGCAAATTCCACTCTGCCTTTGCGCTTGCTCTATCTTATATTACATTTGCTACCTGTTTTAACAGAGGACTTTCAAGTCAGGTCATCTACCACACTGTAAGGACCTATAGTCTTATCTCTGTTGGGTGGACTACGCCCATGAAATGAAATGTGCCCTGCCTTCTCGCGTTAGGACTGGCTCATCACTAGGCTTCCTTTAATGAGGGCAGCAAGCAGAAGGTCTGGACCATAACCACCCTTCTGTGAGTACTCAGCAAAACATGCCAAGGCATACTAGAAACTCAGGGGCGACAATACGGTGGAGAGCTC